ACCATGCTGTGTAGAAAGGCCTCCTGTGGGCTTGTCCTTCCCCCTGGGTGCCTCCCCCTGATTCTTGACTTTGTCACTGCCAGCTGAAGCCCTTGAGGGAAGGGAAAACTCACAAGTCAGACCTGCCTCCATTGTGGGGCTGTCAGGGTAGGGTACCAGCCCTGTGTTCCCCAGGAAGGCAGGGTCAACAGCCCCTTTGGGCCATTTGGGGAAGTTGGAGGAGGGCTCAGAGCAGCAGTAAGAATTTGGATGGTGAGGGGGAGGCATCCTGAGCAGTGACCCTGGCCCAGGTGAGACCCCCTCTCTGCAAGGTTCTTTACCTCTCAGCTCCAGGAGCTTCACATGGTCTGCTGGCCCCCTGCACCATCCCACTGGACTCTATTTGCCATCTTGGTTTTTTGTCTCTGTACATATCCACCCTGGGGCTCCCTCTCCTAATCCTGTATCTCACTTCAGGCAAAGCCCTCAGGGAAGATCCTCCAGGTCAGACCTGCCTCGGGTCCCACCAAAGGGCTGCTGGGGAAAGGGGCTGCCCCTAAACCCCCTCAGAAGTCAGGGCCTGTGGCCATTCAGGTCAAGGCTGAAAAGTCCAAGGACGACTCAGAGAGCAGCGAAGAGTCATCTGACAGTGAGGAGGAAGCACCTGCAGCCGTGACTCCAGCTCAGGTGAGGCCTGGAAGAGGAGGCCTGGAACCACCCTCACACTGCCCCACATGGAGCTGGGCTGCTCTCCAGTCAGAGTGTGGGTTCTGGCCAGAGGGAAGGATAGCATGGGGGCTCCTCTCCGCAATAGATGGGGTCTCTGGATCCAGGAGCCTATCCCACCCTCTGTCTTCATTGTCCCCACAGGCAAAACCAGAGCTGAAAATGCCTCAGACTAAGGCTTCCCCTAGTAAAAGCATCCTCCTCACCCCCACATCTGCCAAGGGTGCCCCAGTGCGAGTGGGCACCCCAGCCCCCTGGAAAGCAGGTACAGTGGCTTCTGCATCGTCCTCAGCGCTGCCTCGGGGCGCCCAGAGGCCAAAGGACAATTCTTCAAGCAGCGAGGAGGAGTCAGAGGGCAAGGAGGCCACTCCTGCGGCAGCAGTGGCGCAGGTGAGGCCTGTGTCTGCCTGCCCATCCTCGGGGCTGGCCCCACAGGCTCTCTGGACTCCTGTGAGACCCTTCCCTCTCTCCCACTCATCATTCCAGGCAAAGTCTCTGGGGAAAGGCCTCCGAGGTCAAGCTGCCTCAGCACCCACCATGGGGCCCTCAGGGCAAGGGGCCACCCCAGTCCCTCCTGGGAAAACAAGGCCCACAGTTGCCCAGGTGAGAGCTGAGGCTCACGAAAGCTCTGAGAGCAGTGAGGAGGAATCTGATGACAGTGAGGTGGGAGCAGTCGTGACTCCAGCACAGGTGAGACCTAGAAGGAGCCACCCCAGACCAGCCGCACATGGGCTCAGTCAGGACTGACGATGGGCTTGCTGGCAGCCTCCTCTGAGCCTCTCATCCTCATTTCCCTCCATTTCTCCTCTGCCCAGCAGAACTCTGGCATTTCCTTTTCGGTCCTGAGAGCTTCCACAGGTTCTGGTGCTTTGCACAGGCCCTACTGAGTAGCCGCTCTGCTGGGTGCTCAGACAGGTCCCCCTAGAAGGGATGTGGACATGTGCATGATTTTTGCAGCAGGGCAAGTCAGGGTTGCAGTACAGAGTGTGTGCCAGGCTGGCAAGATGGGGTCACAACTAGGGGTTTTCAGGAGAATGGCATCTAAGTCAGGGGCTGAGTCACATGGTGAAGTGGGAAGTAAAGTGTTCAGGCAGAGAAAGCAGCAGGTGCAAAAGCTAGGAGGAGGGGACACCTGGCTTGGGCAATGCGACAAGTAGCACTTCTGATTGGGTCATGCTTCATTAGGGTAGGGGTAAGTGACAGCATTTGAGCCATACTGTCCCAGTTCCACATCCTAGGAAGTGATGCAATCCTCGGGCCTCTAGGTACTCTGGTATGTTGGAAATCAGCCCTCCCAGGCATGGGTGAGGGTGTGGGTGGGATCTCACCTGCCACCTCCAGTAGGGCCTGCATCTGGCGAGCTTGTCACCTGAGGGTGGGTCATGATGATACAGCTGAAGCAAGAGTCAGGCCTCTCAGCCCAGAAGAGCAGTGAGAAGTGAAGATAGCTCACTGCCTACACTCACCCGCCCCCTGTTGATTATTTTTAATTGTTGCTCTTGTTTTTTTTTCAATAACCACTCAAATTAGTCATTTCTTCTTTTCCTGTACCAGAGCACACATTTCTGCAGGTTTTCTTTGTCCCTCTCTTGCTCTTGACTTGTGGCTCCCAAGGCCCCAGATTCCTTTAACAAGATTTTAAACTGTGTAGGGCCCTTCCTGAGTCCCGGCCCAGGGGGCTCCTCTCCTGTGCTCTGGCTGCAGACACACATCCCAGACCCAGGGCCTCCCAGGTTGTCAGTGTGCAGATCACTTAAATCTCTGTCTTACCATCTGAGCTCCCACCTGTACCATGAGGTAGGCGTTTTATTTTTGTTCTTTGAACCATAGGTTATTTAGAAGTGGGTTGTTTAATTTCCAAATATCTGGGATTACCCAGGTTTCTCTCTGTTGTTGATTGCTAATTTAATCTTCTGTATGACTTCAGTCCTTTTCTGTACTGAGACTTATTAGGACAAGGTGGTCTTTGTGTCTTTTGTTTTGTTTTCTGGAATCTGAGTAAAAGATAGATTCTGTGCTGTGCTGCTGAGCTCCCCACAGTCACAGTCACAGTCTGCATGTCAGAGACTTTCTTTCTCGAGCCCTGACTTCCTTTCGCTTAGTCTTGTGCATAGGAGGAATGCAGGAGGCTGGGGTGTCTTCTGACACTGACCAGATGACATCCCTGAGTGAGGCAAGCCTTGAGATCCCTCAATCTGTTTCGAATTAGCAGGGCTTGTTCTCACTCCTGTCAAGGATGTCATTCTGGAAATTTTCCTCTTTATCAGTTTCATCTCAAGATTTGGATTTGCTGAAGACCCTGACAGGCATTGTGGAAACCCTGGGTATAGTTTAAGATTAGGTTGAGGTGAAGAAAACTTGTAACAACAATGGCTTTCTGTTGTGGTCTGTTATCTTTGGTACCTGGCTCCCACTTGGACTAAGGTAGCAGCTCAAGCTCTAGCTCAGCATTCCAGCCAGAAGGGAGGAGAAAGATATATTTCTTACCTACCTTTTATGGCACTCAACCAGAATTTAATAACATGGTGACCTAGCTGAAAGGGCGTCCAGAAAATAACTTTGTTCTAGGTAGCCTTATGCTTAGCTAACAGGAAGAAAAGTACTTACTATAATGAGTTTGAATGTTTAATATGTGCCAGGCACTATGTTAAGCACTGAATCTCCTATTTAATACTCACCATAGCCTTGTAGATCGGCCTTCTTATCCCCATTTTACAGAGGAGAAAACTGAGTCCCAGTGAGATCAAATGATTTATTCAAGTCACATGATTGTTACATGAAGGAGCCAAATCCAAGCTCAGGCATCTTATTCCAGAACAGCAGTCTTGACTCCACTGCACTCTTGTATGTTACTTTCTTCCCATAATTCCCTTTTCTCCTTCCAGGCAAAAGCCCCAGGGAAAACCCCTCAGGCCAAAGCCAACCCAGCTTCCACCAAGGCATCTACAGACAAAGAGGCAGCATGGACTCCTGCAAAACTGGTCACTGCGGTTGTGCAAGCCAAACCAGGATCCATGGCCAAGGCAAGTGGGGCCAGAAGCCACAGAAGTATTGGAGATTGGGGTGGAAAGGAGGGCCCAGCAGTGACAGTGGGAGCTTAGCCTAGAAGGAGCCATGCTGTCCGCCTCTCCCCCAATACCATTATCTCCCACTTCAGGGAAAGTCACCAGTGAGAGCCCCGAAGAACAGTACCATCTCAGCAAGGGGCCAGGCATCTGTGCCAGCATCGGGGAAGGCAGTGACTGCAGCAGCGCAGTCCCAGAAGGGTCCCACTCAAGAGTCAGAAGAGAAGGACTTGGAGAGCAGTGAGGAGTCCTCAGAGAGCGAGGAGGAGTTGCCGACCCAGGTAGGCCAGGGCAGGGCCAGGAACAGCCCTGTGCTGTGTGCTCTGCCAGGACCCGCTGGTGTGCCAAGGACTCAGCCGAAACAGGCACAGCTCCATTCTCCCTCCCTCTCCTACATGCCTTCCCTCAGGCTCTTCCCCCCCACCCCTCCTCTCTTTCAAGGCAAAGCCCTCAGGAAAGACCCTGCAGGTCAGAGCTGCCACAGCCCCTGCCAAGGAGTCCTCCAGGAAGGGACCCTCTCCAACAACTCCAGGGAAAACAGGACCTGCAGGCACTCAGGCCCAGGTGGGGAAGCAGGAGGAGGACTCGGACAGCAGCAGTGAGGAGTCAGACAGTGACGGGGAGACACCAGCAGCCCAGACCCTAAC